ATAGTCTACCAACGATGTTTCTTCAAAATAATAATTCGCAATAATTGGAAGGAGAATTTACATTGAGACAAGAACGAGGGTTTATGTTGAGATTATTTTACCAAGAAGAAATTTTGTAATATGGCGAATAGATGTAAGCGAATATTGTATTATAATATGCGTATGATTTAATGTTACATTAACTTAACTATATACTGAAGATGGTCAAATTTTTATGACCGAAACGTTTAAACTTATATTTTAATAATAAAATACGGACTTGAATAAGTCCTCACAAAATAGATCTTGTGCGTGGTTTTTATAATCCATTAATACTTTTCCAAAGAATGTTAATAGCCAAGAAACACGATGATGATCTCGCGGAATTTTTCAAATATGAACTTGCTCCGTACCCACTTTCAATGTTCAATGAGACAACCGGAGAAAGACAAAAAAGTCTGCTGTTTATGATATGTTTCATCCCATTGATCTTGAAAAAAATTTACCGAGCTCCAATGACATTTATGTGATTGATGGTGGATTTTTATTGCATCGGGTAATATGGCAGAGAAATCAAACATATGGACAAATATGTCATGCGTACGTTAAGTATGTAGAAAATAAATTTGGAAAGAATTCCGTAGTCGTATTTGATGGCTACGAAAATGACTCGAGTATCAAAAAAGCTGAGCAGCATCGACGATACCTGCATAGCCAATGTGTAGACATTATCTTCGATGAAAGTATGACGGCTACTTTCAATCAAAATAAATTTTTGTCAAATGATAAAAATAAAATCAGATTGATTTCATTATTAACGAAATTTCTCCAAAATAGAAACTTCGTGGTAAAACAAGCGATAGATGATGCGGATACACTTATTGTTAAAACCGCAATAGAAATATCGAGTAATTGTCGAACATTTGTAGTCGGCAATGATGTTGATCTACTTGTTTGATCGCATTATCACCAGAAAATGAAGAAATATTTTTCATGAAGCCAGGCACAGGTAAAATCAGTAGGAACATTTTTTCGTCGTCAGAAATTCAAAAATCGCACCAACAGATAAAGGATACAATCTTACTGGCCCATGCCTTCAGTGGTTGCGATACAACGTCCAGTATATTTCAAAATGGAAAATTACAAATTTTCAAACTCCTGCAAAAAGAATTTCGATTGGCTAATGTGAAAACTTTCAATGACGAAAATTCAACCCAATCAGAAGTAAGAGATGCTGGTGAAACTCTTTTTTTAATGGTATATGGTGCAAAGAAATTTCCAAATCTTTCGCTCGATTCATATAGATTTACCTAATTTAAAAATTCGATGCAAAAACAAAAATCAAGGCTTAAATTATTACCACCAACATCAGAGGCAGCTGTACAACATTCATCACGAGTTTTCTATCAAATTCAGTTATGGCTTGGCAATAACAAAAATCCGGAACAGTGGGGATGGAAGAAAATCAACGGTTCGTTGCAATCTGTTACAACACTTCTTCAGCCAGCACCAGAATCGATACTCCAACTCATCTCCTGCAACTATACATCCGATTGTTCTTCGAGGTGTGGGTGCAGAAGAGCAGGGTTAAGATGTTCCGAAATTTGTGGACATTGTCAGGGAATGCAGTGCCGCAATGCATGCATGGAGCAAATTTGCAAAGATCTTGACGATTCCGAAGATATAGACTCTGTATACAAGCATGCGGGCGAAGAATTAAACGATATCCTGTACGAGGCAGATGCTACCGATTCTGATTTTCTTTAGGTATAAAAGATATGCATATAATATAATATAATATTTCAATCTACTTCAAAATCGTCACTTATGCAATTAATGTGTATTTTTGTGCAGATTATCACTCACATCTAGTGAAACAGTTCTATTAGAAAACAAATGTACAATTGGATGAAGATGTTTATCACACTCGAAGAAAGCATCGACAGTAAACGAAATAGACACCAAAACCTCAGAGTTCGAAATTTCAATTTATAACTTTTTATATTTATAGAAATCGAATTTTTTTTTGAATAAAACACTATTTTTCGATTTTGTTTGCTTATTTCAACAATATTGTTAACAGAAACAAATTATGGTACTATATCTTATTATTTTAGATCTTAGGATATTAAAATTTACCAAACTTGTTGATATTGATAGTCATTTACATGATAAAAAATCACAAAATTATATTACTTACATGTGGGTCTCTGAGAGTCCCGTTGTGCTGCAAAGGATTAAACGTGGCCACTCTAGCTCGCCCTTTTTGGCTAGGGACTCATTGGTTCCTTGAAATATATACATTTTCAAAGGTCTATACAAAGTTACAGCCACTTCGCAATTTTTTTTGTTTATTTTGGACAATTTGCCTGTACTACTTCCAATTTATTAATTTGACTAGATCAATACAACTACAATATTTAACTGTAGACTGCGTTGCATTATATCTAAAATAAAGACTATGTTAAATTTTATATACTTACAGACTACGTTATAAATTTTGTATACAAATTCATTTTTAATTTTGTTAACATTGATAATGACCCGATCGGTGTCGAAATGTCTGATATTGTTGATGTTTTATTACGTTATAAATTTTGTATACAAATTCATTTTTAATTTTGTTAACATTGATAATGACCCGATCGAAATGTCTGATATTGTTGATGTTTTTATTTTATTTTATTTTTATTTGATTTGTATTGTCTTTAATTTGTAATGCTTATTAATTTAAATTAAATTGTCTTTATTAAATGTCAATATTTGGCTCTTGGCCCTTCTTTTATTTTACGTGTTTAAAATAAAATTACTTTTTTTTTTATCGCTTTCTATAATAAAAGCTGTAATATTTCACAGGAGTACTTTGTAGCAAGTCGATCAATGAGCATCATACCAGTCGCTATTGCTATGGTGGCTACCTTCATTTCTGGTTCTGGACTACTCGGATTATCCGCTGAGATTTATACATATGGAATGCAATTTGTTGTGATAATCCTGTCGTTTATGTTAGGCACTGCGATCACATGTTACGGATTCCTACCAGTATTCTACAACCTACAAGCAACCAGCGTCTATGAGGTTAATCTGACGAAATTAAATTAGTTAACAGAAATTTAAATTTTTGAGAACTCGTATTAAAAGGACATTTCTTTTTTTAGTATTTAGAAAAACGTTTCGGAGTAAGAACTAGGATGATAGCTAGTTTTGTCTATTGGATTCAACAGCTTGTCCATTCAGGTTTGGTGCTTTATGCTCCTTCTCTAGCCTTGGAGACGACCACAGGAATCTCTAAAACTATCAGTATTGTTATTGTTGGCCTTGTATGTGCTTTCTATTCGAGTATTGGTGGTATTAAGACTGTGATATTGGTTGATGTATTTCAAAGTCTGCTTATATTTATCGCCGTCTTGTTAATTATTGGTATAGCTGTAAATAATGTTGGAGGATTGGGACAGATTTGGGAAATCGCGAGACAGGGACAACGACTCGAGTTTGACAGGTATTGCATCTACTTTTCTATATTAATTGCGTGAACTGATAAATTATTATATACACATAACATCTAAATAATTTTTTAATTTCTGTTTATTGTTATTTTAGTATTGATTTGGATCCAACAGTAAGATATACCTGGTGGTCTATTATGTTGGGTGGTTTATGTACGTTTTTGATAATTGTCGGAGTAAATCAAGTACAAGTACAGCGTATGCTAACTGTAAAGTAAGTGCCATAATTTGTATAAATACAATGCTGGATAAAATTAGAAATTATCAAATAGAGGGTGTCTCAGAATAAACATTCGTCCTTAAAATGACGTATTCTTGAGGTGATTTTAAGACATTTTTTTCTTTGTCAAAATTTTATCCGAAGCATAGATTTTGAATTATAAGCTAAAATAGCGAATTACGGGTCGCGTACGGAAGGCAGGCAGGGGCGGCGCAACTCATCGTTCGACGCGGGCGGCGGATTGCGATCAGCTGCTCGCTACGTATGAAACGCGTGTTACGATAATACGCGAGATTTCCCCCTCTCTCTCTCTCTCTCTCTCAACCA